GGATCTGATTTGTTGTTTTTTCTTTTCTGATGTATCAAATCCAGCATTTTCTGCTGATATTGATCTGATACCAATACCCTGTATCAGATGGGTGCCATCTGTACTATGGGTGATTGAAGCATAACCTAAAATCTCACTGCTTCACCTGAAAGGTTTACCGCAGCTTTCTGAGCTTTTTGACAGCACATGTCTCTTCTAAGCCCATCTTTTAGGTACACTCTAAATTTTGGGGTCTGCACATGTTTTCTTCTGAGGTGAATGGAAAGATGTAACTGGATTTAATGGACTCCATTGTGTTGGGTGCATTCAATGGTGCAGTCATACTCTAAAAAGATTTTCAACAGAGAGCCCTAAGCTAGGATTATTCAATAATAAAAGCTGTCAATAACAACACTAAGAAACAGATTCAGTTGTGTTGCGTTCAGCTCGTAGCCAGTCTAGAACACAGTTAATTCAGTCCAGCCTAGATGAGCTCTGACTAATAAGAGCAGTCTTCATCCCTTTCATAAAACAGGCTTAGCACTGAAGCTTACAGCACCCCTGCAGTTCACAGCACAATAGCCAGAGAACATTAGGATGCACTGGCAGGCCTCTGTGTGTGTCTCTGTATGTGTGTGTGTGCACAGACTGCACTTTGTGCTTGTGTGTATTTACAGGATTTCAGGCCTCCGTTGTGTGTGTAAGTGTGTGTGGGGACAGGCAGAAGCCAGACGAATCTGATGTTTTCACAGGCCTGATTCAAACACATCTCCCTGAAGAGACAGTCAGCATCCTGCAGGCTAACTCATCTCTTCTACTACCTCTCTCTCTCTCTCGCTCTCTCTCTCTGCCTCTCTTTCTTCCTTTCTTGCTGCCTTACTTGTGTTGAATGTGTGTGTGTGTCTTTATTCTCTTCCTCACATAAGTTTGTGTTCTCTGTGTGACAAGATTGTGGGTGTGTGATGATTTGACCGAAGAGTTTTGCTGTAGCTGGGGACTCTAAATCAGGGATGCGTTAAACTTTTTGTTTTGGGGCCAAAGTGCAATGCTTGTGGTGAGGAAGGGCCAGTATAAAATAAAAAAAGATAGATAGGTTTCCAAATGGGTTTTAAAGAAAATCTTATAACATGTTAATATATAACTATATTTCACTAAAATACTTCATAAGATACCGTTTTAAAATAAGAATGATGAATGAATCATTCTGCCAAGTTGGTTTAAATTGAGTTGAAAACACATTTTGGATTTTAACTGAATTTGACTTTGGACTAAAATCATTTTTCTTTTAGTGACTCTATACCTCAACTATGTTCATTTTATTAAAATAACAAATTGAACATTTAATTTTGTTGCTACAAATACAATTAATTATGCCTCCAAAACTTTAACAAATGTTTCTGTAGTGACTTGCGGTAGTTTAAAGCAGAATTCAGAAACAATAGCTAGTGCATGACTAGCAAACACAGCTTTGTATCATAATATTATTCATTAAAACAGTTTAATAGTTTACTTTATTTTAGTGACAGTTGTTAATGTTGCACATTGATTTTCAGAGTGACAAGGATGCAGTCTTACTTCCTGTTCCAAAATGCAGGGGTGTGGATAAAATAATGCTTCGCCTATGGACTAAAGCTCTTTATGTTTTGGTAGTGACATGAAAACATAGGACAGCATTTTTTAAATACAAGTGTATTAAACAATTAAACACATGATAAATTTACATCTTTCAAATTTCACGTCTTCACTTTAGAAGAGAAGAAGGCCTTTAAATAAATTGGAAAAAAATACAAAAAATGTTGGAAGTGGAATTTAGGGATTAGGGTTTGGGACAGACAACAGAAGGTAGCCTATAAATTATGATTTTGTATATTTAGCTCATTACTATCTAAAGTAATAAATAGGTCAGACAACAGTTTGAACTAATTCAGTAGAATGATGCATATACTGTATAAAATATGTTTGTTCTCTTGGCGAAGAGGTGGGGTTAGGTTATTTTTCTGGTGGGCCAAATCAAACATCCTCACGGGCCACTCTATGATGTCACTCACAGGAACTAGGAATCGGCGAAGACTGAAATCAGCAGATTTTTTTCTCCAAACACGCAATCGGCAATCAGCCAATTTGTTACTTTGACTTTGTGTGAATCTGTGTGACAGTTTTATGAGGTAAATAATGTGAAGCACAGATCTCACACTGTACCAGAATGTTGGGGCTACACCTGTGCCAAAATATTGTTATTACTTTTGTTTCTACTTTCGATGTAACACTTTATTTGATTCATGTTCTTTAAAGTTTTTAAAATGACAATCTGGCCCGTTGAGGACATAATAATGTTATTTCTATTGTGACTGCCTAATAGAAAAAAACTGTTGGTGTGTTTCATATATTAATTTAACCAACACAACGTGAACTTTAAAAAAGGCAAATAAAATCAGCCATAAAAAATGTGATTTTTGCATCCCTACTAAAAACATTTTGATGCAGTTTTCGCTGATGAACTTCATTACGTATAGAAATGTCTGTTATTATGCTATTGATCTTTCTACAGCAGTGGTTCCCAACCCAATACTGTGAGTCAGGTTGGAGCAAAAAAATGTGGACTGTCTGGGGAGCCCTGAGCACTAGATTAGGAACCAGTGCTCTACAGTATCCACTGAGATACCAGAGAGGATCCAGTTAATGGGTGATGTTTAGGATATAGGACAGATGTTCAACTGGTGTTTAACACATGGGAAAAGCACTTGATTCAGTTGAACATTTGTCCTGTATCCTAAACATCACCCATGTGTTAAACACCAGCTGAACATGTTTAGGATACCGGACAAATGTTCAACTGGTGTTTAACACATGGGAAAAGCACTTGATTCAGTTTAAATACAGAAGCTAATATTATAATTATGATGAAAGGCTATATACTGTACATGGCATGATACCACTTTTTCTTTTCTGATGCTGGTGGCTATATTTAAAATTTTAAATATCGCCCGACAACGATACCAATCCAATATATCTTCTTTAAAACCTACAAAAAAACACTCTGCTACCCCGCAAAAAGAAATACACAGCACGCAATGTGCGTGTGAGTATTTCAGACTCATTACAGGATTGAATCAGATTCATTTTCTTTTTCCCTCCGATACCCATTCTTCTTTTTTTGTGATCATATGTTTTTATTTTTAAGATAGTGCTTCAATGTAATACAAAATACAGTAAGCAACAAAAGACATAGCAACAAATGAAGCACCCAACCACCCCAACACCCACATGGCACCCATAAACCCACCGCTGGTCAAAGAAGAAAATAATAGTGAAAAAATAAATAAATAAATAAATGATCTCTATGACATATCAAGTAATACAAAACAGGTTTCACAATAAATTGCCAATTTTCTTAGCTGCACTTTGAGCTCAAGGTCCTCCCGCTAGCTCCATGGATCCTTGCAGTTGAAAGTTCCATATTAATGATATCCACAAAGGTGAGGATCCATTGCCGCCAGCACAGAGAATGTGGAGGTTGCCAGCGCAAGGCTAACATTTTTTTTGCAGCTGTGAGACCAGCCAGCCAGATTCGCTTTTCAGCACAATTTAAATTACATTGAGTCATCAATCAAGAGCAAAGTTTGGACTGTATTTGGCATAGTTTTATTGAGAATATCTGATAATGTAAAAGAAACCTTAGTCCAAAACGTATGCACATTTAAACACTCCCAGTACATATGTAAAAATGTACCGTATGTACCATCAGAACAAAAATTACAAAGAGGAGATGGAGTAAGACGCATATGGTAGCGTCTGCAGGGAGTTAAATAGGATCTGTGGATAAAATTATAATGAATAAGCTGATGGTTAGGATTTTTAGAGGCTGATGTGATGTTATTCCCTATAGTACGCCAATCGATTTGACCATGGTCACTATTTAGCTCTTTTTCCAATACAGTTTGTAGGCCTAAAGGTTTATATACAGCATGTAGTATAATTCCTCCAATACCCATTCTAGCGTTTTCTGCTGATATTGTCATAATCCAGATAGCTATGTGGTATCTAATCAGTGCCATTGTTTGCTTAAGTTTTATGTTTGCTCTGGTTTTTACCACAAATGAACTGGTGCCAAAGTTGGATCTCACTAAAATGTATCATATTTGATACACTTGGTTAAGAAAACAAAGTTGGTGCTAAAGAAGGAGTGTTGTCTGTTCCAATGGTTTGTTTATGCTGGCTGTGAATTCATGTGTCCGGTTTGTTTGGTGATTTTAGAGTGTTGACATTTAAAATTTGAACAGTGAGTCATGAATTCAAACACACTTCCTTTCACTCATCAGAGCCAAGAGCTGCTATTGATATCTGTCCATCTGCTGCAGTTCCTTCATCTGAGCCCTTATTTACTCCAGCTTTAAGCCTTTGTTATTGAGAAAAACTGCATTCTAGCTGTCAGTTAAATCACTTTTGTGTTAAAGCCACAGCATTTTGTTCATTGAAGTCAATAGCCATTTGACCTTGAACTTAGGCGACTTGATGCTTAATCTAGTTCAGAGAAGTTTACAGAATAAAAGTCAGTGTGAAATAGATTTACTCTTTATAAGACATTGATAACTGGTCCTGGGATTTATAATAGGCATTAGAGAGTGACAGAGAAAAAGAGGCATTGTTTTAGACTGTTGCCCATGACATCGATTTTCTCTCACTCTCTCTTGTGTTGAGGGAGCAGCCTGGTTGTTTGATGGAATGAGAAGAAACCAGATCATCAGGATGTTCTTCACTGGAAATCTATTTAGTTGCATTGACCAGGAGTCCAGCTATGGCAGAGCTAAGAATAGAATTGTGGTGTTCCATGGATCTCACTCTCTCTCTCTCTCTCTCTCTCTCTCTCTCTCTCTGTCTCTCTTTCTCTCTCTCTCTCTCTCTCTCTCTCTCTCTCTCTCTGTCTCTCTTTCTCTCTCTCTCTCTCTCTCTCTCTCTCTCTCTCTCTGTCTCTCTTTCTCTCTCTCTCTCTTTCTCTCTCTGTCTCTCTCTCTCTCTTACAGACATGTGGAGGAGTGTGCGAGCCTCAGCAGGCGTTTCCGAACGGATGCTGCAGAAGCTCAGGGGCAGGGTGGAGTTCACCCTCCTGCTGACCCTCAAACAGGACAAATTCAACTCTGGGGTGATGCTGTCGATCCATCATGGAGAGCAGAGGTACACACGGGACTGAAATGAGACACATTGGCAGAATAGTGAACAGAAGTAGGAACAGTCTTGTCATTTTTTTACTGATTCTCTTTCACACATAGTATTGTACTTTTCATAAACATGGTTTGACAGAACAGACTGTTTGTTCTTTGAAGGAATGGTTTGGCAAAAAATCAAATTGGCAAAATCTTCCACTTAGGCATGTTTGGTGTCCTTGTAGATGGTTTAGGACACAGTGTGACTTACTGTGAACTATAACATATAGTCATACTTTAATAGATACCTGGGTTGCGGTTTAAGCGTCTTAAGAGAATTTTTGGAAATGTATGAACAGAAAAGATTTGGGTGACTATTGACTTTTAGTGTTTGTTAGCAACGTTAGCCTCTTAGTTCCAGCACTAAATGAAAGAAGCTAAATTTGGAAGTGAGTGGAAAATTGTGTACATTTGACTTTTTATGGAACCATTCCTTTAAAGACCTATTTGTTCATGTGGATTCACAGGAAACCCATAAGAATTACTAGTGTTCTTCCTTGTAAAAAAATGTATGGTTCTGTCCAGTTCAAGGGTTTTTTAATCATCATAAATCCACGTTTATCTGAAGGTTGTTCGGCGCTAACGTTTTTGCCATGATAATCTCTAGCATATCAACAGCATAATGTCAACAGCTGGCATCCCCTGAATAGATCACTGAGATCAGGCATAAGCCACAGCATATTAATTATGAGCTAAAGTTCAAGCTGTATTGCTATAACACAAGTGTCATTGTTTATCTCTTCCACACACAACACCACATTTGGTGCACTTAGAAGCACAATCTTGAAAGCCATGATCATATATTGGAATTTTCATCCACATAATATGAAAAAAAGCCATGAATGACAGCCTCTTCATTTCCTTTTGCTTTTACCTATCTTAATCCTAAAGAGAAGAAAGAGATAATCCACAAAGGCGTTCTGTGAAAATCCATCAGGGTATTGAAACGTTGTAGATGTGTTTGCTGTCCCTGACTTGTCACTCCATCATCTTTAGAATGCGTGCTGATGCATGGGCCACCCTGCTGATGGCGTGTGTGTAATGCCACTGAGTGTCCGGTGACATTTCTTAAACACATACTGTATTGATTATGTCTCCCCTTTAAGGTCAGCATGCTCACAACACGAGGGGGCTTACGGATCAGTGCTTTTCTCACCAACACACATATATTAGAGCTTAAACATTTATCCGAACCTGACTTGACTTGGCTGCTCACATCCAGTTCAGACGTCATTTTCAAGATATCTGTTGGGCTTGGGTTGGGTTCAAATTTTGTGTTGGGTTCTCCCGGCCTGCGCTTATATTAGTTTACACTCTCCCCTGCTTTAGTTTTTCTCCTTACTTTATTTTTCCACCCTACTTTCTTGACCTTAGATCTTAGACTGGTTTTTAATGTTGCATGATAGTCACCCACTTCTGAGTTTAGCACTGAGATCAACAAGTTCCATGTTGTGAGAAAATGGATGAGTAAAAGGTTTGGGCTGTATAACAGACATTAAGTGAATGAGTATACCATGGTATTTGAAAAATGATGACACTATTTCAAAATTATGACATGTCAAATTTACATTCCATTTTAAAATGACCAAATAAACACTTGCCACATATTTCTATTACAAAAACAAGCATAATAGTGGCTCAGCGATGGTGAAGAGCTACACGCCACAGAAAACATTCGATTTTGGCTTTAATGTTTGGCCTGCTAACTGAGCTACCATTAGCTACTGTTTGTCCCAAACAATACAAATCATTTCAGCATTCTGTCGCTCCAACACCGGTCACTTGACTCTCACAGACGCTAGTGCTAACCAGCTCCTCTCACCTAGTTATCAGCACTATTTAATATTTAGCAATTATTAAATAGATGGTTTGATATTTACTGAATGATGGCTTGGAAATCTTGTTTTGTGACCATATAAGCAAACTAGATCTTTTAATTATTTTAAAACATTGCAGGATGAGACGGCGCAAAAGAGACATAAAAACTTTTACATCATTTATGGCACTTTTACTACTACCTGTCGCTGTGGTGTAATTTAACCTATGCTATCCTGTCTGGTTTTGTTTGACACTTTGGGTGATGACGAGTTGGCTTGGGTCAGTTCAAACTGAATTTTATTGAGCTCTGGTCAGTCTCGGACTCGAAACTTGATCACATAGGTCAAGTTGGGTCAGATTCAGACAAAATTCTTGGGATCAGGTTCGGACTCAAAAGTTGATGATGTAACTGATGTAGTTCTGAGGCTGTATTCGGGTTTGGATAAAACTTTTAGGCCTGAAGTTGTAATGCATACACAGCACTAAATCCTCTTGCAATACTGGGAGACGCTTAAAATTGCTGCACAAAGCTAAACCACATGTTTCTAACACATATATCTTATTTTTATCATTACATTTGCAAATGAAGCAAAAGTTGAACAGATAATTAGCCACATATTCATGCTGATTGTGAGTTTGATGGATAATCTGATTATGATGGGTTATCTTATTGGATTACGTACTTGCTGTAGTCAAGATGGATAGCCAAATCAAACAGATGCATACTTAAATAGTCAGATACGCACAGTCAGTTTTTAGTAGATGGCAAATGTAATTGATTTGCACATAGAGGATTAATAAATAGTAAGACAGCAAGAGATTCCACATTCTCTGTGTTGATGATGAGTTCCATCCTTGAGTGAGTGAAAAACTGCTGTGTGTTCAGCTCTGGAAATGCAATCACAAATGTGAAGCTGGCACTGATTGATGTGTCTATGGTGAAGGCAGTTGCGTGTGAACACCCTGAGCAATGTTAATTGCTTTTGCCCCCTGCCCTTTCTATCCCATCTCATTGTGTTACTCATAGCTCATTTACATGGATAGAAAACTTGGTAGATTAATTTCCATGGTGAAAATATTGCTGCTGATCTCTAAATGTGGAGTTTGAACTCTGTTTGCTAATGTTCTGATACAGAATGTTTATGACATATACCTTGCCGACAAGAAGGACTATTCACTTTTAATCCTAAGTTATTTCCATTATTAGTGCCAGTAATTTCTTATTCCTGCAGATGAGATAAACACTAACACTACTTTGGATGCAACTTAAAACCCAATTGTGTAATACTTGTACATATAAAATTTAAAAACGAACCTGTGGGCTGTAGTACTGTATGTGGTGTATTCATTAAAGATATTAGCGGTGCGACAATATGTATATTTGATACGTATTGCCGTTTGCATCACAAAATAATATGTTTTCATTTGTTTTGTTTGTTTATCATTTTCTTAGAAGACATGCAGTAATTAAAAAACTAAAAACAAAAGTGCAAGATGTATATTACATGTTGCACATAGGCATTTGGCAAATGTTATTATGGCTCACAATAAAAGTAAACAAAAAAAATGTATAGACTGTAAGACTCAAAATTAAACAAACTGAGCTTTACCAGTTCATTTACAGTCAGATCTTGTGTTTATATAAAGTGTGGCTCTTTCCTTCGGGGTGAAGTGCGTGAGAGGGAATTTTCTAATGTGGCTCAATCACTCCCAGCAAATCCAGAACTCTCTATAGCCGAGCAGCTATCAGAAGCTATAAACATGCCTGTAAGTTCTTTTGCCCATTCAGTAGCAGCACACAACAGCTACTTGATGATGTTTCATCTGCTCTGGTAACTGAGACGTTTGGGTGATGTCTTCACAAATGAGTTAACAGGGTTGGGATGTAACAGAATACAAGTATTGGGAAATACATATTCAGAATACAGAAATTAAATTTTTATATTCAGTCCAAGTTATGTTTTGTTTTCTATTTTAATGTCAGTGTACATCATGTAGCGAACATGCTCATTAGACGAATTTTAAAGAGGATCTCAATTAACGGCCACTTTACAAACACTGAAGTTCCTACTAAAGCCTGAGCAGACTGATAAATCAAAGAGATGAGTTATTAGTCTCAGTGTTAATGAGCTTTTCTGAGGGATGATCAAATTAACATGAAATGTATTAACGATTTTCCTATATTCCTTACCAAGATGTGTTGTAAATGTATTCTGAATGTGATTTATATACATTACTTTTTATGTATTGTAAATGAAACACATTACTGGATACATTTAGGATTCAATATTCAGCCATCACTACTTTTTCAAAGTATTTTGCCCAACCGTGTGAGTTAAGATAATTGAGGTATTGGCCCTAGCGCAGTGTCGGCACTGTTCAGCCTACCACTCTTTAATAATAATAATAATAATAATGTATTATACATTATACTTATATAGTGCTTTTCAAGAACTCAAAGACGCTTACAGGTTTTCAAAATACAGAACAGTAAAGACAAACATGAGAACATGAAGCACATGTCATAACATTGCAAGCAAAAACATAGCAGGACTTGGCAAAAGGGCTGGTTTAAGATTGAGAATAGTTATAAGCAACACAAAAGGGATCAGTTTTTTTAAAACTTATGGTTTTAAGTTTAGATTTAAAAGTAGAAACAGAGTTGGTCTGTTGAATATGTGAGGGAAGAGAGTTCCAGAGTCGGGGAGCCAGCCTAGAGAAAGCACGATCACCGTACCCATGTAGGTTGGAAGGTGGGACAGTGAGTAAACCAGCAGAGGAAGACCTGAGAGTGCGAGTTGGTTTGTAGGGAATAAGGAGATCAGACAGGTAAGACGGAGCAAGTTTATGTAGAGCTTTGTATGTGAGGAGAAGAATTTTGAATTTTATGCAGTATTTTACAGGAAGCCAGTGTATGGCAGTGTATGTTGCAGCATGGGTGTAATATGCTGATGTGCACGGGTGCGGGTGAGAAGGCGAGCAGCAGAGTTCTGTACCATCTGGAGTTTGCATAAATGGGAGGAGTTAATACCAGCAAGTAGAGAGTTACAATAGTCTAGGTGACTAGAAATGAATGCATGAACAAGGGTTTCTGCAGCAGACTGAGAGAGTGACGATCGAATTTTTGCAGTGTTACGGAGATGGAAAAAAGACGTTTTAACTACAGAGTTGATGTGTGCACTGAATGAGAGAGTTGAGTCAAAGAGAACGCCCAGATTTCATACCAGAGGGGAAGGGGACAGAGTTACATTGTCGATGGAAAGAGAGAAAGAAGTTTTAGAGAGAGTCTAATTGGATCCTATAAGAATAAGTTCTGTTTTGTCACTATTTAACATGAGAAAGTTGTGCTTCATCCAGGTTTTAATTTCTGTTATGCAGTTTTCAAGCTGGGTGAGGGGTGGATTTTTAATAGATTGAGCGCTAATGTAAATCTGTGTGTCATCCGCATAACAGTGAAAGTTCAGCTTAAAACTACGTATTATGTGGCCAAGAGGAAGCATGTACACAATAAACAAAAGAGGTCCAAGGACTGAGCCTTGAGGGACCCCCTGAGTAACCACAGACATATGAGAAGTACGGCCACCGAGGGTGACAAACTGTTTTCTGCCAGTCAGATATGACTTAAACCACTCCAGGACAGTGCCCCTAATGCCCAGATCATGCAGCCTTGATAGGAGGATTGAGTGGCTCATTGTATCAAAGGCTGCATTTAAGTAGCAGAAGGATGCTAAGAGCACCAATATCTGCAGACACCAGGAGGTCATTAGTGACCTTTATTAAGGCAGTTTCTGTGCTATGAGAGGGACGAAATCCGGACTGGAATGGTTCAAACAGGCAGTTAGCTGATAAGTAATACCGGAGTTGGCTAGCCACAGTTCGTTCAAGTACTTTGGACAGGAAAGTGAGGTTAGAAGTTGGGCGTTAATTACTGAGTTCTAGTGGATCAAGGCCAGGTTTTTTAATTTTGGGTGTGATAGCAGCAGTCTTGTAAGCAGAGGGTACCTGTCCATAGAGAAGCGAGTTATTGATATGAGTTTACATAATTTGGTGACTGTTGAGAAAAGATGACGAGAGTTTGTGTTCGAATTATTAATGAGACCAGAGAGGTAGGCTGATTTAGCTGAATGCAGGGCATCTCTATAAGCTAATAGGTGTTGTTTGTAAGCCTCTGCATGAACAGAGAGCTTTGTTTTCCTGAAAAGCCTTTCCAACCGGCGACCACTTTGCTTCGTGGAGAGGAGTTCATTGGTATACCAGGGAGAGGAGGTGACAAAGTTTGCCCGTTATTTTTGCGCTCGACTGGGAAACCGAAGTTCTTTAACAGGAGTCCAGCTAAAGCTTGCTCTCTCTGCTGGCCATTTCAAACAGCTTGGCTAATCAACCAGCCAAGGTAGACAATGCTGAAATTAGCTTCTCACTTGAGTGCTGCATCGTTTAAGGTGGAGTGGAAAATATAAAAAATGTCAAATAAGTTAGCGTGAAATCTAATTTTATTTGATTCACAACGCATATCGTCTTTACCCCTGTATCAAAAAAATATATATATATTAACATGCGTCCCTTTAAAGAATATACAGTAATGCTCTAGAAGAATGTTGCATGTTTCTGTTTATGTCACAGTGAAGCAGATCACTTACCTCACAAACTTTTGGTCACTTTGTGAGTGGGTAGTGAAGAAGGTTCGCTATCTAGAGGGGAAAATGAATGCTGAGTTCTAGGGTAGTTCTGTGATCAGATGAAAAGCAGTTCAGGAAAGTTCTTATATTGTTTTAAAAATGTCAACCACTATGAAACTCTTCTGCTAACTTCTCCATCTTCTCAGCGTGTTGTTTGAATATAGACAAACCACATGACAAAAGTTTGCTGATCTCTGTAGAAAGCAACGGAAGGCAAATCAAAAATCGACGCACTCCTCTGTCACCTGATTACTAAGGGCTCACATCTGACTTGATTTGCTTCTCTTTCCCCAACTATTTATAAGCCCTGTGTTTGTTTTTTGTGAAGTCTTGTATGTTGCATTTATGCTTCGGAGTCTCCTGTTTGGTTTATTTCGCCTGGTTTATGTTTATAATTTGGTTTATCATTTCTGCTCTTTTTGATTATGGTTTAATCTACCTAGTTTGTTTTTTTTCTGTTTACAACCCTGCCTGATTTGACTGACTCTCATATCTGTTTCACGAATCCGCTTTTACATATTTTAAATAATAACTGACCTATTCTCCTTTTTTTACCCCGCTATGTCTCTGCTCCACTGGCCAAGCCAGAAAATGAGTGTTTTCAGATGTGAAACTAATTTTATGGCCATTGCCTGATTCAGGAAGGTCTTTTGTCTCATTTCATCTGTGTATTCTCTTTTTTCTGTCAGTGGCTATATAAAAGTGTTTGTCCTGCATATACTTAATGATAATCTTCAGTAATGTCCATAAACATTTGGATGTTGACAAAGTTTTTGTTATTTTAGCTGTCTACCACAGCATATTGGAATTGAAATTAAGTAATTAATATGAGCTCAAACTTTAGATGCTTAGCTTTAATTTGAGGGTATTTACATCCAGATTGGGTGTAGGAATAACAACCATTTTTGTACATAGCCACCCATTTTTGGGGGCTCAGAAGTAAGCATAAAAACAAGCATAATCAATTTTAATACTTCCTTGCAAATCCCCTTGCAAATACTTTGTAGTCAATGACTTTGTGAAGTTTGCCATAGACATCACCAGACACTGGGTTTCTTTCCTGGTGATGCTCTGCCAGGCCTTTACTGCAACTGTCTTCAGATCTTAGGGCATTCTACCTTCAGTTCTCCCCTAAGTAAGCAAATGACATGCTCGGTTGGGCTGAGGCAGGTGACTTGACCATTGCAAACATTCTACTTTTTTACCTTAAAAAAAGTCTTGGGTTGCTTTCACAGTATACTTTGTGTCATTGTCCATCTGTGCACTGTGAAGCACTGTGAAGCACTGTGAAGCACAGTTCAATGAGTTTTAAAGCACTGGTTAAATCTGAGCAGCCCTACACAGTTCAGAATTCATCCTGCAGCTTTTGTCAGCAGTCACATTATCAGTAAATACAAGGGAAGCAGTTTCACTGACAGCCATACATGTCCATTGTATAACACTACCTCCACCAAGCATGACAGACAATGTGATACGCTTTGGATCCTGAGCAGCTTCTTTCTTTTCACCATGCTCTTCTCTTCCCAACCTTGTAGTACAAGTTGACCCTTGTCTTATCTGTCTTGTCTCCGTAAGATGTTTCAGAACTGTACAGGCTTTTGTAGATATTTTTTGGCAAACAGATCTGATATTCCTGTTTTTGAGGCTTACAAATGGTTTACATCTTGTATTTTCTCTGGTGAAGTTTTCTCTTGATTGTTGACTTGGACACAGATGTGTCTGCCTCCTGGAGGTTGTTTTTAGCCTGGCCAACTGGTATAAAGGGATTTTTCTTCACCAGGGAAAGAATTCTTCTGTCATTTACCTCAGTTGTGTTTAAGTGGTCTTCTGGGCCTTTTGGTGTTTCTGAGCTCACCAGGGCATTCATTCTTTTTAGGAATGTACCAAATAGTTGATTTGGCCATACCTAATGTTTCTGCTATCTCTCTGATGGATTTGTTTTGATTTTTCAGCTAGTGATGGCTTCCTTCACAGCTCTTTGGACTTCATATTCATAGTTAACAGCAGCACATTCCAAGTGCCTTATGCAAGTGCTCTAGATCAACTGTAGACTTTTTTATCTGCTTACTTGTAAGGTGAAAGTGAAAAAAAAAGTTTATTTTATGTAAGGAGTTTTTTCTTTTAATACTATTATCTCTCAGATTTCTCTCATATTTCCAATGCAAGATCAAGCTGATAAGTCTACAAAGACATTCCTTTGTAGAGATAAACTACAAAGTGTTTCTTGCTCATCTTTACCAAGGGTGCCAATAATTCTGGAGGACCCTTTATGACTCAGCCGCTTCTGTAATGCTTTGCCAGTCACTGTTGTCATCTGCCTGATCCTGCTGTTTGAACCACATGAGTCTGGCAAGCTTTTCATTTGTATTTGTGTAATAATGCAGTAAAGTGGAACTGAACTGAATTTGCAGGTATTTGGAGCTGGAGAGCAGCGGGCAGCGCAGTGAGGTCCGGCTGCACTACTGGACAGCAGAGAAGCGCACCCACACTGAGGTGTTCCCCTACAGCCTGGCAGACGGCCGCTGGCACAGAGTGGCCCTGTCACTTAGTGCCTCACAGCTGGTGCTGTATGTGGACTGTAGCAGGTAAGAAAGACCTTTAGACTACTGCATTTTTCCATGTAGCTCAGCCAGTTTTTCTAGGCCAAGGACTTGTTTATTCTCATGTCAGAGAACATAATTGACTACATTTGAGTACACATAGACTACAAAAGACTGTGTTCTCTTTAAATGCTTCTTGTGTTTAGAATCTACGAGAGGCTTGTGGAAACGCCATCTATGGATGTTCCTGCAGGGACAACTGTGTGGCTAGGACAAAGAAATAATGCTCATGGATTCTTCAAGGTTAGTGTGTCTTTGAACGTTGCACTGATATGTTATTGTTACGTCTCATGTTCAGACATGATGGCTCTGGCTGAACACTGCTGTCCTTTCAAAGAAAGCTCATTTGTTCTGCTCATCAGGGGCTGTGATTGAGTCTGCTTCTGTCAAACTGATGGTGATAATAAATGAACAAAATTCTGCTAGACCTGTGGTGAATAGTTACTAGTTTGATTCATCTGTCTGTATGTTTAATTCTTGCTCTCTCTCTTCAGGGCATGATGCAGGATGTTCAGTTGCTGCTCATGCCTCAGGGGTACATTTCTCAATGTCCAGACCTCAACCGCAGTGAGTGCAGTTCATCAGCCAAGAACACACTCATATATTAGACATCTTATTAATATTGGATTAAGGTGTCGCCTAGATGGTTATGAATTAAAATGAATAAGAATTCATTCTAAATGTTCATTAAGCTGTCCTCTCAGTGATTTCTTTCCATTTCAGCTTGTCCCACATGCAACGATTTTCACGGTCTGGTGCAGAAGATCATGGAACTTCAGGATATTTTGGCCAAAACATCTGGAAAGGTAATAGTTTATACTGTACTGAGCATTGAAGAGAAGGTATGTGAAACTGTAAGCTGTGCATTACATTATAAAAAAAAGTGAATGTGAAAACCAGATGTATGAGTGTTGAACCTTAAACTTAACAGACTTTATTATTTTGTCATGCTTGTAAAACTCTAATACAAGGTGCAGGTATGTTGTAATTAGGCCTGTCATAATTATTACATACTCCTGATTGCAGTTATTTAAGGTGACCTCAGTCATTATCCTCAGTCGTTAGCTTTCACAACCGTATGTTGCCACAAACAGAAGGTGAATTTGTTGCATTTAATGCATATAAATAAAAGAAAGAGGAAAGCCCATTCATTGAGACCCATCACAAGTCTTATGAGCACAACAAGTTCTAACTTCTGACTGGTGCTATCACATGTTTAGAGAGCAATGATAAAGTAATGTTTGTTTACCTAATGTTTGTTAATAACTGCTTTAGAGTGCAGCAGTGAGTAATGATTGTTTATTTAAGCTTGAGCTGTTTATGTCATTGGATGCTAGTCAATATTGACAGCTAGGAAGTAAGGTTAGTTATTATCAGCTTTAGACTTATATATGCATATAATGAAGAACAATTCAGTTGTTAATCACAATTATTTGTACTGCAGTTAATCATCAGCTAATATTTCATATTTGTGACATGCTTAACTGGAATTACAATTTGGAGCAAAGAAAAATGTCATTTAATTGTCACATATAATTTTACTTATTATGACTGAAACTGTTAGAAAATCACATCAGTTACAGTTTTAGGCAATTAATGTAAAAGCCTTATAATCAAATCTGTGACCTTGTTTCTTTTCATGCTGTCATAAACTCCCTTCTGCTCTACTCCTCTCTTCACCTCTCCTCTCTTCTCCTCTCCTCTCCTCTCCTCTCCTCTCCTCTCTCCTTACCTCTCTCTTTACCTCACTTCTTCACTCTCTCCTCTCCTCTCCTCTCCTCTCCTCTCCTCTCCTCTCTCCTTACCTCTTTCTTTACCTCTCCTCTTCACTCTCTCATCTCTTTTCGGCTCTCTCCACATCTGTCTTTGTGTGTTCTGGTTGTAGCTTGCGCGAGCAGAGGAGAGGATGAGGGCTCTCGATGGATGTTATTGTGAGAGGACCTGCTCTCTGAATGGAGAGATCTACAGAGACGAGGAGGTCTGGATAGATGGGTGCAAGAACTGCACGTGTTCGGTAAGAGTTTTAGGCCGGCAATCTAAAGGAGACAAGAGCTTCTTTGCCTTCAGCTGTGCATTAGTGCACACAACACTGTAGCAGTGTTCGTTTAAGCTAACTGAGATGATGTGTTTGAGCTAACGGAGGTGTGTTTTCTTCCCGTTTGTCTTATAGAATGGTACTATTGAATGCGAGAGCATCTTCTGCCCTGCACCTCAGTGCCCTACGAACACTGCACCAGCCTACATTCCTGGAGCGTGCTGTAAAGAGTGTCAGCGTGAGTAAACACAAACACAGATACATGCATGCTAACTATGTCTATGTTGATGTTTTTGCTCATCCAGAAAGATCATTTTTAGTTCATCCAGAACAAGAGAGCAGGAGATGATTAAAAAATATATGTAAATATATGTGTTTGTATTAAAAATATAAGTGCAGTATATGTGATGTTTTAAAATATATGTGCTAAATATATTTGAAAGTGCAATTTTTAAATATGTAAATGCATGCCTTTATATTGAAATATATTGATGACCAACAAATTTACAGACTGTGCTTGGACATTGGTCAAACTACCTGTCTTAGTCAACAAGTATTTGAATAAAAAAATGTGTCTATACATGTTTTAATGTAGTCCGTACTTTCTGAGTTTTAGCCATTTCATTTATAACTCTCTGTAACTGTTCCAAACCCTTTGATGCTTTCCAAATCCCCTCACCCCCTTTGTGTTTCTCTGTATTCTGCCTAAGCCGTCTAATCAAAACCCAAGGCCAGTCACACACTTCGTTTTAAAAACAGTCCGATCGTACCCTTGTGTTACAAGGCTATCCTGGCAACAAATGGGAGTGCCCCCACAACCCCAGCCACCCACTCATGCAAATTCGAGCGCACACACAGACACATTCACTTGTATCATAAATAATTCAAGGCTGATTGCGAGCTGAGCAGTGGCATGTTTCAGTAAGCAGGGCTAATGGCTGTTTGACTAATGACTAAATCTGTTATTTAACTGGAGTGCTAACTAATCTAGTATGCTGATCAGATATTTCTGTCTCTGCCTGAATCTCTCTCTCTCTCTCTCTCTCTCTCTCTCTCTCTCTTTCTCTCTCTCTCTCTCTTTGTCTCTCTCTCTCTTTGTCTCTCTCTCTAGCGGTGTGTCTTTTCAGGGGGAGGGTTTATGTGGAAGGTGATCGTAAGAGTGTGCGTGACTCTACAGGGAACTGCCTGCTTTTTGAGTGCAGGGTAAGCAGAAGGCAATTGAAGTGATTGTGTCTAATCCTTTCCTGATTCATATCACATTGAGTTGGGAGGTGCTACAAGATTTAACTTATGGTTCTGATTTGAGAGGAGAGGTTTAAACAGTATTGTATTACAATTACTATTTACTCTATTAGAAACATGTGCCTTGTAATACTCACTGACCACTTCGTGAGCTACACCTATCCTATAGGTCACTCTGTAGTTGAACAATTACAGGCTGTAGCCCACCTGTTGTTGCATGATTTTTCAGTCCCCCTCCACTCCAGTCATCATCAGTTAGTTTCTGACCACAGGACTGCTGTTGTCCAGATTATATTTGGGGGGTGGATAATTCCAATGCACAGCAGTTAGCACTGGGGTCAGAAACTGACCATTGATGAAGAGCTAGAGGAGAGCTAAGACAAATTATATCAGCAGTCTCTAACTGTACACCAGCAGAATGGAGCTACAAAGTAGGGGTTTCTGATAAAGTGACTGGTGAAGATATTTTAATGGAATTGTTCACATTTTCTCAGGGTACAGTGTGGCACAATAATATAGAACATTTGCTTTAAAAAAAAAAAATCCTCTGTCTCATTTATTCATGTATGTGTGTGGACATGCATGTGGGTGGACAGGATCGTAGCATGCGAAGAGTTGAGAGCACGTCGTGTCCAGAGCTGACCTGCCCTGAGTCAGAGCAAATAACCCTCACGGACCGCTGCTGCACAGTTTGCCGTGGTGAGACACGAACATATACATATTTGCATACACAATTAAGACACAATTAAGAGTTCCAGCATGGGTGATGCTACTTACCAGGGGTTACCAGTCTTATGCACGTAGGGCTGGTGTGGCTGCAGGTTTTTATTCCAATCAAACAGAAACACCCATGATTCCACTTGTTTAATCAGGTGGTCTCGTGTCTTCAAACAACTGATTAGGTATATGAGGTGAGCTCCTGCTTGGTTGGAATGAAAACCTGCAGCCACACTGGCCCTTTGCCCTGCCGTGTAACATCATGTAAAAAAATCACGAAAGGAAGGATCTGGACTAGAAAGGTAGGATCTGGTCCAAGCCCATGTAAATCTGGAACAAGTAGCAAAAATATCAAAACTGAGCAAAATTTAACATTTATCATCAGAATATTAAGAACACTAATTATTGTTATTTCTATTTGTGCTCACTGATCATTATCTAAGGCTAATCGCAGTGAGTATAACGAAGCTGTTCCAGAGAAAATGTCATTGCTCAAATGTTGTTCTTTGATAGCTCAGGACACTCAATGGTGATTAAACCAAACATTTAATATCAGTCTTCTAAAGAATAGCTTGCCTTTTTTTTTCGTGAGGACGCTCACTAGACAGTAAGGCAAAAAGCGGTTATCACACACATAAGTTTTTCTGCCTCCACAATCCGTTTGTCACACTGCATGCGTTCATGCTTTTTTTTCTCTCTCTTAGCTCTCTCGTTCGCTGTTGCTTGAATCATTTGTTTTATGAGTTATTTTTTGAGTTATCATCTCACACTCCAGGACTTGTGAACGTCATAAAAAGTCATAAAGATCAGACGTGTTTGAAAATATTGGAAGGTTTCCGGTCACTCTGGACCTGGATCAGAAGGCTAAAGATTGCCTTGTTTCTCTTCTCACACTGACAGATCATCTACACAGCTTCCAATCAAGATCCCAACCTGGATTGTAAAAAAAAAATAGGTTGTGAAAATTTAACAGACAGGCCAAATCAAGGATCAAATCAGGCCAGAAATCCTGTAGGGTAGGAACAGCTTAAATGTCCTTATAGAAGAAATAGCCCTAGACCAGGGGTCTTCCACGGGCGGCTCTTTTACTGCCCTGTTGTGGCTCCATAGCAGAATTTGAGATTTTAAGATACAAAATAAAATAATCCTCCTTTGCAGTAAAATAAACCTTTGTTGATCATTCTAACACAGGTTTAACAATAAATAGTCTCAAACACGAGTTAATGTAGAACTACTAATGCACCAACCTTTAACCTTGAAGGTTGGCGTGCAGGGGCATAGCATAGCAACCATAGCAACGCAGACTACAATCTCACATAGCTAGTAGCTAGCAAAAAGGCAAAGAGAAAGATTTAAGACAAACGTTGATAATTTGGTGACAAATGGACTTTTATAAACACTCCAGCTAGTTTCCTTGTATGTTTAATCTGCAACAAAAACCTATCAAACACTAAAAAGTCACAAAGCTGATGTCAGCTTCTCGTTCGCCAGCTTCTTGTTAGAATTCTCCTGTTCCAACTTAAATGGTGCAGCAGTTACATTCTAACAAGAAGCTGGTGAATGAGAAGCTGACATCAACCTCATAAAAAGTTGAACGTTAAGAGACATTTACAAGAAGAAATTCTACTGTTCAGGAAAAGTTTCCTGCCAGAGATGCGAGGAAAGTAGCTATAGCTGAGCTAAAGCTGGAAGCAGAGCAAACGAAAGTGCGTTTTCGTTTATATTATATTTTGTAGCCTTTACTGGTACATTAGCACATACTTTATTAGCACATATTTACAGCCAATATGGGAAAATGGGCATAAAATTTTGTGGCTCCCAAAGTGGTTTGATTTTTGTTGATAGGACAAAATGGCTCTTCTTAACATTTGGGTTGCCAGCCCCTGCACTAGACAGAAAAAAGACACGAGATACAGGAGAGATGAAGGAGTGATGAGAGTTCAGTTGCAGATAAGTGAGTGTATTTTTTTCAGCAATGTGTGACTTTATTAAGATCTCTACCAAAACCCAAGTGAAAGACACTTGATATTACTGAAATATCTGAGCAGCAGGAGACTTGAGCTGAAGTCTCCTTGGTCTTTCTGTCTGATCTCACTGATGTCTAAGAGAACCTACACCGCAAAAAATGACTCATCAGATCAACCTAAAAAATGACTTAATGCGGTAACAAGCCATTAAACTAGTTTTATTTAACTCAAATAATTTGCTTTGTTTGTGCAAAGTATTTATTAGTTTGAATAAAACTAGTTTAATTTACTTGTTACCACATGAAGTAATTTTTTAGCTTCATCTGATGAGCCATTTTTTACAGTGTACAGAGATATTAAGGAGGCCTCTGTTGTATTTTTTCTTTCGTGTTCGGTTTGTTCAAGAGAGGAAACCAGTTAATCAGTGTATTCCTCACTGGGAGTCCGTCCATTCACTTCTATTAACGAAGAGTCCTGTTATGACGGAGCTAAGAATAGATGTCTGGTATACCAGGGAGCACAGCATTACTGTAAACAGTTTCACACATACACACACTTTCCCAAGTTTAAAAGGTGTACTTTATATCACTGTCTCCTGTGCTAATGAGTTCTCTCTTAAGGTTGCTACCTCTGCTCATTATACACATAAACAATAGACTCGGTCAACACTTACCCATGCATCTCCCTGACACCTCCGAGCTATTTTTATAACACATACAGAAGCCCACACTCTCTCTCTCTTTCTCTCTCTCACTCACTCACTCACTCACTCTCCTCTCTCCCCCTTTCTCTCTCTCTGTTAATGGGACATTGATGGGAGATGCCAGGAAGACACAGAGGTGCGATGTGTTTTGCCTATGTCTGTGTGTCTGTCACAGGACATGATTTCTGTGCGGAGGGCTACAGCAGCAGCTGTGTCGAGAACTCAGAGTGCGTGAATCTGGAGGCAGGAGCCTGCTGCAGCTGCAGAGACGGCTACCGAGCGCTGCGGGATGACAGCGCTTACTGTCAAGGTACTTCGCAGCTTTCAGACTCCTCTGGGCACAGACCTACAGAACTTGAATGATATGCTATGCACGTTTCAGTAGACTTCATGGAAATTAGTATGTACACTATCATTCCAAACTGTGGAACGTTCTGAGAGGTACATATTTAAAATGGTTCTTATAAAACAGATAATTCTTGTCCTGAAATCTGTTTGGCTGAGCCTGGCTGGAAGCCATTGTAAAATAGTTGCTGTACACACATCTATGATGGCCTCACAACAGTTGAGCTCTGTATAACTGCACCAAGTCACAAAAAATCCTTGTGCTGTAAATAAAATAAATTTTGACTGAAATGGTGCTCACACGGGCCACCAAGTGCATTGATGAAGTAAGAACCCAGATTTGTTTAAACTGAGGAACTAACAACTTATTTTCTTAACTCTTATTAGGCTGATTAGCTAGATAACAGACAAAAAGATAGCTCACAGGCTGAATAACACCTCCATCCATATCACAGGCTTTGAATTAAAGCACTTGCTGTATGATTTACTATATATGTGCTGTATGATCTGCCTTGAGTAGCATCAAACCAAGGCTCAATTTGCCAGACCTGTTGAATATAAACATCACTTAAACAGAACCTGTCTGGCAATGTGAAGCTGGCTAGAATTCCTCAAAAAGCAGCACATGATGCCACGTTCTAAAGAGATTTAAATACAGATGTGAAGTCATTGAAATCTACCAGTCTTGAAAGAGTTACAAAGCCATTGCTAAGATTCTGGGACTCCAGCGAACCAATGTGAGAGACATTATCCACAAATGGATAAAAACTTGGGACAGCAGTGAACCTTCTCAGGAGTGGCCAGCCTACCAAAATTTTACCAAGAGCACATTGACGACTCATCCAGACCCAGACGAACTGGAACCCAGATGAACATCTGAAGAACTGCAAGCCGCATGCGCCTCAGTTAAGGTCAATGTACACGATTTCACAAGAAGAAAGACACTGGGCAAAAATGGCATCCATGGGAGTATTGTAAGGCACAAACCACTGATGACCAAAAAGAAAACAAAGGCTCATCTTGCATTTGCCACAAAACATCTAGATGACCTCCAAGACTTTTGGAATAATAATCTGTGGACTGAGGAGTCAAAGGTAGAACTTTTTGGAAGACGTAGGTCCTGTTACATCTAGTGTAAAGCTAACATACACATTTTACTATAAGAACATCATACCAACAGTCAAACATGGTGGTGGTAGTCTGATGGTCTGGGGCTGCTGCTTTGTTAATCCCTGCATATAGTTTAATTCTGAGTTTACATGTTTATATGTACACTAAGGTAACTTGAGTAGTTGAGCAATTTAAAAAACACATTATCCTATAAACTGTTAACTAATTGTTGCTGATTTATTGAGAATGTAAATTCAGTAGACTTTGTTTAACGAGTAATTGGGTTTAAGAAATCGTGACAAGGTCACACAACACTTGACTTTCAGTGAGTGTTTTCAAAATATAGATACTTGCCTTGAGATCAGGACCTCTGTGGCACTATGTACAGGAATAGCAAGTGTTTTCCGTCAAGGTGATAGTCCTTAGTTCCTTTCTGGCCTTTAGCTTAACTTATAAAACAGTGTTGTGGGTGGATTTTCATTAAAATGTAGAAGATGGTAATTATTTCATGGTTTGTTTTTGAGTTACATTACAGCCTGTCAGGTGTAATGAATGCTGCAATGGTATAAATAGACTGTATAATATCATGCAGCCATGAGTTTATTTTAAAGTCACCAGATGCTTCTGTTAGGTACATGAGAAGGTGGATAAATTAACTGCTCAATAGATTACAGAGTGTAATATGTAACATAGCAATACTTATTTTGTTAAGGACATGATATCTTATGGAAAATGACAACAAATATCATGTTTTAGCCATCTGACTAAAGAATTCTACCTAAATAATTTAGTTTCAGCTCCAGTCAAATGCCTAATTCAGAGTTTTTGGTGAGCAACAGGTTATTGGGTGTTATTTTAGAAGGTTTAGAACAAACCTCTACAGACTGGTTATAGAGCCTTTCTCTGTAGTCAGATGGGTCATTCCAGTCATTGAATGTTTTGCTGTGTGCTGTCAGCATCCTGACCAATCACACATGTTCTCTGGGTGTGATGCCAAGGATTCACTGACAAGTTTTACATTGTATTGTATTGGAACATACACTATATGAACAAAGCTATTTGGACACCCCTCCTAGTTACTGACTTTAGCCACACCCATTGCTAACAAGTGTGTAAAATCAAATATGTAGCCATGCAGTCTCCATGGACAAACACAGTAGAGTGGGTTGTACTAAAGAGCTCAATGGCTTTAAACATGGCATTATCAAAGGGTGCCACCTTTGCCACAGGACAGTTTGTGAAATTTCAGTCATGCTAGATCTGCCCCGGTCAACTTTCATATTGTGAAATGGAAGCATCTAGGAGCAACAACAGCTCAGCCACAAAGTGGTAGACCATGCAAACTCACAGAGTAGGGCTACCGAGTGCTGAAGTGCATATTGCGTAAAAAATGCCTATGCCTGTTTCATCATTCACTACAGAGTTCCTGTTAGTGTGTGTTGCGCTGGTCTGAGTGGATCAGTGGTGCTGGAGTTTTTGGACACCTCAGTGTCACTGTTGGACTGATAATAACCAGCTAAAACCATCCAGCCAACAGCGTCCTGTGGGCACTGATAAAGGACTAGAAAATGACAAACACAATCTGTGCAGAAACAGATGAACTGTTGTCTCTGACTTTACATCTACAAAGTGGACCAACAAGGTACTAGTGTCTAATAAAGTGGACAGTGAATGGACACAGTGTTAAAAACTCCAGCAGCACTGCTGTGTCTGATCCACTCGTACCAGCACGACATGCACTAACAGACCACCACCACCCAGATAATACTTGTTCTGTGGGGGTCCTGACCATTGAAGATTAGGATAAAGGGGGGCTAATAAAGTATGCAGAGAAACAGATGGACTACAATCTGTAACTGTAGAACTACAAAGTGCACCTTTATGGTCAGGAGAGCTGATAAAATGGACAAAGAGTGTAGATACAGAGAGGTGTACTTAATGAAGTAGCCACTCATTGTATATTGCAATAGAACTTTTTACTGAACTACTGAAGTGACTGAACAGTGGAGTGGTTAAACATTAGCAGTCCAACAGTCTTTTAAACGTACAACCCCATTTCCAAAAAAGTTGGGATGCTGTGCAGAGTGTAAATAAAAATAGAATGCAATGATATGCAAATCATGTAAACCATATTTTTAAAGGAAAATAGTACAAAGACAACATATCAAATGTTGAAACTGAGAACTGTTATTGTTTTTTGAAAAATATATGCCAAATTTGATGCCAACAGTATGTTCCAAAAACATTGGGACGATGGCATGTTTACCACTGTGTTTCGTCACCTCTTCTTTTAACAACACTCTGAAAGCGTGAGACCAATTGCTGTAGTTTTGCTTTAGTTTTCCCATTCTTGTTTGATATTGGATTCAATATGTGCATTATGTGGTTTTACATTGTCTTGCTGAAATAAGCAAGGCCTTCCCTGAAAAAGATGTCTGAATGGCAGCATATGTTGCCAAAACATGTATATATCGTTCAGCATTAATGCTGCGTTCACAGATGTGCATGTCACCCATGCCATATGCACTAATACACCCCTACACCATCATGAATACTGGCTTTTGAACTGTGCACTTATAACAAGCTACGGTTTCTTCTTTGCATTTTAGAGTTTTAATTTGCATTTGTGGATGCAGCGACAAACTGTTTTCACAGACAGTGGTTTTCAGAAGTGTTCCTAAGTGTTCTTTGCTATTTTATGTTCTTGAATTGTTGCGCTATGTGATCGTGCAGTCTTTCACAGGTGAACTCCTCCTCATCTTTACTTCTGAAAGACTCAGCCTCTCTGGAATGCTTTTTTATACCCAGTCATGTTACTGACCTGTTGCCAGTCAACCACCAGGTGTTTTTTTAGCATTACACAACTTTACCAGCCTTTTCTTGCCCCCGTCCCAACTTTTTTGGAACATGTTGTTGGCATCAAATTCAAAATGGGCATATCTTTTTCCAAAAAACAGTAAAATTTCTCAGTTTCAACATTTGATATGTTGTCTTTGTACTATTTTCAATGAAATGTTGGGTGTAAAGGATTTGCACATCATTGCATTTTGTTTTTATGTACATTTTGCAAGGTGTCCCAACTTTTTTGGAAATGGGGTTGTATATACAACAGCAGAGGGGCGCAGAATTGTATTTACTTAAAAATTTACATGGACTTTTAAAATGTCTTGCAGATGTTTTACCTGCAAAATGCCTGTAATAACCATGTAACAGAAGCCCTGGTCAAATTTGGTATATATAAAATGGTACTTTGTCCATATTGTGTAATTAATTCCACATGAGAATAGTTTGTCTGAGTACATTTTTGACTTCTTTTTTTATTTTTTAATAAGGCAACAAATATTTGTCACAAAAACCTACAAAATTGCAATGTGACTTTTCCCAATACCATATAACCCTAGTATTTGATTTCGGGTCAAAGTGTAAGTAGTGCATTGTTTAGGGTGTCCAGGTGATTATGGGGATATTTGGTTTTCTTTTCCTCTGTGGAGTTTAGGCCAGGGCTTGTCTTACTGTATTTGTGACTTCTTACATTAGAATGTATAGAGTGTAGTGCCCCTGTTTGTTCTATAATATGCTTGGAAGCTGAATCCTTATGTACTGAAAGTCACGGAGTCCTAGAGAGTTTGTATTTATGTAATTAGAATGCACAGGCATCTTACATACATGTAGTATCAAGCAAACTAAGCAAAAAACAAAACAACACTTCTCTCAGACACTTGGAACACTAACAAGTGTCTTGATTGTTGTGCTAGTGCTGTCTGGAGGCTGATATGGTGTTAATATTAGACTGACTTGGTAAAGCAATAAAAATTTGATAGAGAAATTCATTTGATAAACACTTCAGATGGAAAAAAAGAGTGGGAGGACAGATGTATCAGAGAGTGTATGTAGGAAAGACAGAGAAAGCGGGAGAGAGACAGACTTTAATTAACCCAACTTTCAGCTCAAGCGCTGACCAACTAAATAAGACTGCCACTTTTTCCATCAGGACTAAATAAGGAAAAATGTAATTATAAACAAGAGAGGTCTGATTTTTTTTAATCATTCAAAGGAGACCAGATTAGGAACAGCAGCGCTAATTTTGGCCTTGCAGTATCTTTTCATTGTGTTCTTTGCCCTTGGGCACCCTCACAGAACAAGTGAGGCACTAAACATAGCAACTTTAAACTTTAAAGTAAACTTTCATAACTTTAAAGTTATGACTACAGAATTCAGTAAAACTTAGATTGTTAGGAAAGTAATACAAATATAGGTTCACATAGGGGGAGAAGCCCCTAATGCTAAGATACTCATCTGCATTTGAGTTACATCTACACCTAATTTGTTTTGTTATTTTTTTATTAGATGTTGAATGCTGTTGCTTAGTTAAATTGTTCCTTGATATAATAATAGTAATAAGAATAATCATAAAAGGATAGTTTGACTATCCTTTGTGATTTTACACATTATAACCTCATCATTATCAGAACATTTCTGATTGAAAAATATCCCAAAAGACACTCAGAACCCTTGAGTTTCCTAACGGTATCTGGCAACTACCAGCCAGCTAAAGAGCAACAGGCAACCACTGACTATTTTGGTTGTGCACCAGTGTCTGCAGAGGTAGGATCTATGTGCTGCAGCGAATTTACCCAGGCAGAAGTTTCTCAAACATCTCTTAGTAGTTCTGAAATTAAGGTTAAACAAGTAGTTAGTCATCACTCACTGAAAATAAAAAACCTTGTAATATGAACTGTTGCTATAGCATCCATTGCACATAGCAACACAGCATAGATGGATAGATGCTCAAAAATACTTAATAATGTGGAATGTTAGTCTTGCTGCTGATAAAGTTGGCCAACTAAATGTCAACCATTAAAAAAAAAAAGTAGTCCAAGCTAATTTGCTCTCCAGACTGGTGTGTTTTTTCAAGCAGTGTTAGGGATGCCAGTGGGTGGACCTTTCACGTTCCATAAACAGTGTGGGAATAGCAGTTTCTTTCACTTTACAAATGGGGGACAACTGTTTAACTCTGGATTTTAGGTTTAAATAGCCTGCAGCCACTGTAACTTGGTAAATAATGTCAGGCTATGCCTCTCACTTTCACACTCTGGTAACTTTTGCACTGCACAAACGGTCGGCACTGTTTTCAGGGATAGTTCGCAATTATCAAAGATTGCAAAACAAGCTCTTTTTCAGTGCCTGTATCTCACTCTGCACACTCAGAGGTAAACACCTCTTCCCCCTTTGGAGCATTGGGGTGTTACCTGGGAGTGTCTAAGTAGCTGGCTGCTGCAATATATCATGAAAATGATTGTTTTCAGAAATAAAGCTCACAAGACCTGGGAATAAATATGTTTATTTCTCAAACTGTGGTTCAGGGAGTCTAAATATTTGGACTGTATGTGTCAGCTGTGAATCACCCCTTGGAGACATACATTTCATTTTAAAATATGATGACACATATAAATTATACATTCTCTTAAACTTGGATGATTTGATGCAAGGTTAACTAACCAGGGGGGCTTCTTAGCCCAGCTACCCTGAGAGTGCAGCAGGATAACCCTTTCAAGATTTCCTTTTTTGTTGTACCAAAATGCTGTTTCAGTTTTTTTCCCCTTACTGTGAAAAGGTTAATGCATTGTCGTCCTATATATGCAGAACACGTACAGATATGGTTTAGCCTTACAGTAAATGACCGTTGTTCTCAAGGCTTTTTCTCCCATTTGTCCTACTCTGTCAATTCTCAGTCACTTTGTTACATCAGTGAAGGTCATACTGCTTGCGTAATAGCATATTGCTGAACGCTCCTTTTTGAACATATGGATTTCTAAGCTAATCCACTGCTAGCTTGTAAAATGATGATGGCTAAATTTTAGTAACAAATATTCGGTAAAAATATTCTCATAAAAAGGTTTATGGGAATTCGTGTGCAGTGCAGCACTGCTGCTGGCAACACTGTGGACAGTATGAAAATGTTATTTATTTTGATTATTATTCTTGTCAGACTTGTCTGAGTTTGTCCGTGTTTGGGTGTTGGGTTGCAGACATTGATGAGTGTGCGGAGGGGAAACACTACTGCAGGGAGAACACCGTGTGTGTGAACACGCCAGGATCCTTCATGTGCGTCTGCCAAACTGGCTACATCCGGATTGATGACTACTCCTGCACTGGTAAGTGGCTTTGCTGGGTCGTTTCTGTGAGCTTCCCAGAGAGACAGAGAGAGAAAGAGACTCAGAGAGTCTCAATGGAACTGGAAGGTTCAGATGGCACATACATATGATTCATTTCTATTAAAGGAATTGGTTATTGCTTGCTTTTTTATACGAGCAGATGCTGCAGGATTTTAACATGTGAGCACTTCCTACGCTCCTTTTCTTTTTCTTTTCATTTCTGGATTATCAATATAACCGATTCTGATTCTGATACAGTTATACTTTGCATACTAAAGATGTGTGTTTAGACTAATTTTGATATTCGAGTATCCATGAGGTTAATGAACAGATAATGAGTTAACACAAAAGGAAAAAAAAAACACACCAAAAGGCTTGGGATGACATTAATGTAGGGCTGTAGCCAAGATTTCTTCTGTTGGATGAGTAACAGAGGCTGCCTCTTCAGATGAGCTAACGAGCCAACAGAGCTAACCAGTGCAGTGCTGGATGCTAATAGAGGCTCGTCTTCTTCTTACAAGTGGTCTTTTCTCTTCAGTGGATGATGTACCAGCAGTAACCCTAACCCTAACCCTAGACAGAGCCAATGTGGAGTTTAATCATACATGCTTGTCCTCATATCATAATATATAAATTAGAGCTCATCGATCAGTAACTCTGGGAGGAAGTTCAAAAGGAATAAGTAGGTATGGGCCTAACATTTTGTGAACTTAAAAATATTCGTAAATAAATGCAGCACAGCTATTAGACAACTGGCCATGCTACCAGAGAATGTGTAGTGAGGAGAACTGCCACACAGTAATGTCTTCAGAGTTTGTCACCTGCTAGAGGGCGCGCTCGAGCGAGTCCAAAATGGCTGTTTTCCTATGGAGCCTTTGTGCAAAATCACAGTTTTGTAAATGCCTTATCATTTTTATATAGAAAACATTTTCTGGAAGAACAGCATAAAATATTTCAACACTACTGTTGTATTTCTGAGCGCTTTTGAACTCAAGTTATAAAACTCGGGTCCGGTCTCTCATAAACTAGTCTCATCTTGGTCTCAACCTCACTTGGACCCAGTCTTGTCTTGGCCTCGGGATAAGATGGACTCAGAAATTATTGTTGAGACCAGAGGTAACTGGAAACTGAATTATTACTGAATATCAGCAAAACCAGAATAAACAGAATAAAACAGTCCTTCATCAGGGATTCCCAAACCTTTGCTCGCACACAGAAACTTCCATGATCCACAAGATTTAACTGATCTAATTGTTTTTTCTGACTCGCCCCATGTGATGACTGATGTTTGGTAGCTACCAAGTGCTGCATGTCAGGCTTAAGAGTGGAAAGCTGAGGAGTTCTGGCTCCTGACAGGTTTAGATACCCATTCATATATTCATATACCTGTACCTATATGTTTAGTCTCCAAGTGACGGTGTAAATTGTTGGGTTTTAGAGCTTTAAAAGACCCCTGAGCAAACAGCACAGATAATCAACAGTATTTGTTATATTTAGAATTATTTGCTTAATAGTCTGTATTGTAACAAATATTTGGGGTTGAAAAACTCATGGTCAGTGGCCCCATAGCAGTACCACCATGGCCCACTGGTGTTGTACATGTTTAAATTAAATCTCTTGGTTGAGGATCTAACTGATCTTCTCCGGGTATAATTTGTTTGTTGATGTTCAAACGTACCCTGAGGGCAGACTGAAATCTTATTACATATTATTACACATATTTTCATTTAATAATAAAAATGGATGTTATTTGGTGTAAGTTAATTTTAGTTTATGTGATTCTTAGTAAATTGTAAAGAAGAAGGACAGAGAATAAACTAACCACTGCTTCCAGTTACAATGCAAAGTTGGACTAAGACTATAATATCATAATAATGAATAATGTTTTAGGCTATAAAGCATTTAATGTTATATTTTATGAAATATATTATAAAATATTAATGAATATGTGTGAATATATATCATGTATACTTAATGAGAATTAACCTAGTAGCAGTAATGCTAGCATCCTACTGCCCTAAACCTGTTTGCTGTAGAAAAAAATAAATATACTGTTAAGTTTTATTCGAATTTTTAGTGAAATACATCCTTCATCTTTTCATGCCTATCCCTACTGCATACAGGCTAAAATGTATGCAGTGTAAGTTTTCTGCTGTGCAGCGGAGTTTAATTGCAGCAAGCGATGCTGCAGACCTCTTCTGACATGCGTTTGCTCATTAGCTCCGGTGAGCAGATCAGTTCAGAGCTTTTCAGAAGCAAACAGTCCACTTGTTTACACCATTTGGCCCACGCAGGTCAGAGAGAGCATTCAGCATATGATGCTGTTGGTGTGTTTTTTGTATTATATGTTACCCCTTAATGGAGTCGACTGAGTAGGTGAATTAAGTGTTCAGGAAGCAGATATAGTCCTTCGCCTGCTACAGTGGAAAAGTATTTTGAGATGTTTTTTGTGTTTTGGAACTGTCCTCCAAAACAATTAGATACTTTCACTTAAGTAAAACTTATATTAGGTGTATTGATCTAAGATCATTTCCATTTTTGCACTGTAGTATCAGTCTTTGTAGAACAGCCAATAGGACTAAACCTTATTCTTTTCTTCTCTTCTCTTCTCTTCTCTTCTCTTCTCTTCTCTTCTCTTCTCTTCTCTTCTCCCATTTGCTTTTATCTTCTCTCCTCCTCTCCACTTATTTCCTCTGTCTTGCTCTTTTCTCACCTCTTCTCTCCTCCCCTCTTTTTTCTTTTCCTTTACTTTTCTTTTCAGTCCTCCCCTCTCCTCCCTTCTTTTTAATTTATCTCCTCTCCTGCCTTTTCCTTTTCTCCTCTTTTCTCTCCTCTTCTCTCCTCTCCTCCCCTCTCTTTTTTCGTCTCTCTCCTTTTCATCCTCTCCTTTCGTCCGCTGTTTCTTTTCTCTCATTTCCTCCTCTCCTCTCCTCTCCTCTCTTACTCTGCTCTTCTGCTCTCTGTTCTCCTTCCTTTATTGAACAGATGAAGGCAGTTTATCACTAATTACAGCCAGTGTAACACTGACAGTGTTTATTACATTGTGCAAGAAGCAGGAAAACATTAGCATTTTCAATTATTTATGTGCATAATCACCCACAGTGAATGATGTCTATTTTTCTTCTGGGATAATAACAAGGTAATCCACAGGCTAGGATTTCATTGCTTTTTAGACTGGAAACCATTAGAAGAATTTTAATGGATTAAAATAGCATCACCTGTAACATATTATTTGCTCCAATGGTTAGTGTAAATTGTAATTTGAAACATTGAAGTGATGATTATTTTCCACATGTTTACATATTGTTAAGTAGATGACAACATCCTTAATTGGCATACTGATATTTCATATCATAACATAAACTGTAGTCCCAGGCCGTGCTCTCATAATGAGTTGTTTCCATTGCTACACTATTTTAATGATTGCATCTAGTATTTGCAACTTAATCTCAAATGAACTGTTACTCTTAAACTTTTAATGTAGAACAGAACAGCCATTATAATTGAATTAATGTGCATGTTAATGTGTATATATATATATATGTGTATATATATATATATATATATATATATATATATATATACACCGTGGTGTGAAAAAGTGTTTGCCCCCTTCCTGATTTCTTATTCTTTTGCATGTTTGTCACACTTAAATGTTTCAGATCACCAAACAAATTTAAATATTAGACAAAGATAACACAAGTAAGCACAAAATGCAGTTTATAAATGAAGGTCTTTATTATTAAGGGAAAAAGAAATCCAAACCTATAAGGCCTTGTGTGAAAAAGTGCCCCTAAACCTAATAACTGGTTGGGCCACCCTTAGCAGCAACAACAGCAATCAAGCGATTGCGATAACTGGCAATGAGTCTTTTACAGCGCTGTGGAGGAATTTTGGCCACTCATCTTTGCAGAATTGTTGTAATTCAGCCACATTTGAGGGTTTCCGAGCATGAACCGCCTTTTTAAGGTCATGCCACAGCATCTCAATCGGATTCAGGTCAGGACTTTGACTAGGCCATTCCAAAGTCTTAATTTTGTTTTTCTTAAGCCACTCAGAGGTGGACTTGCTGGTGTGTTTTGGATCATTGTCCTGCTGCAGAACCCAAGTGCTCAGCTTGAGGTCACGAACAGATGGCCAGACATTCTCCTTCAGGATTTTTTGGTAGACAGCAGAATTCATGGTTCCATTTGCCACAGCACGTCTTCCAGGTCCTGAAGCAGCAGCACAGCCCCAGACCATCACACTACCACCACCATATTTTACTGTTGGTATGATATTCCTTTTCTGAAATGCTGTGTTACTTCTACGCCAGATGTAAAGAGACATACATCTTCCAAAAAGTTAAACTTTTGTCTCATCAGTCCACAGAGTATTCTCCCAAAAGTCTTGGGGATCATCAAGATGTTTTCTGGCAAAACTGAGACAAGCCTTTATGTTCTTTTTGCTCAGTCTCTTTCTTATGGTGGAGTCATGAACACTGACCTTAACTGAGGCAAGTGAGGCCTGCAGTTCTTTGGATGTTGTTGTGGAGTCTTTTGTGACCTCTTGGATGAGTCGTTGCTGTGCTTTTAGGGTAATTTTGGTCTGCCGGCCACTCCTGGGAAGGTGCACCAAAGTTCCATGTTTTCGCCATTTGTGGATAATGGCTTTCACTGTGGTTCGCTGGAGTCCCAAAGCTTTAGAAATGGCTTTATAACCTTTTCCAGACTGATAGATCTCAATTACTTTGTTTCTCATTTGTTCCTGAATTTCTTGGGATCGCAGCATGATGCCTAGCTTTTGAAGATCTTTTGGTCTACTTCACTTTGTCAGGCAGGTCCTATTTAAGTGATTTCTTGATTGAAAACAGGTGTGGCAGTAATCAGGCCTGAGTGTGGCTAGGGAAATTGAACTCTGCTTTCCAAAGATGTGATAAACCACAGGGGGCAATCACTTTTTCACACAGGGCCCTGTAGGTTTGGATTTCTTTTTCCCTTAATAATAAAGACCTTCATTTA